TAGAGGGTATAGAGACTGGTTATCAGTGCCCTATTGTTATTGTTTATATTTAAAACCAAAGAACTAAAACACCCTCCAGAAAATGCTCATGTAAGGAAGCTACATCTTTAACCACATCTTTTGCAAGGTTCTGAATACATTCTGTGGACATTCGGTAGACAAAGGAAAGAAATAAAAGAAAAATTACATGATTTGTTAGAGAATAGTTACCTACAAAGAATCTCCTGATTGTAAGGAAATTTAAAGAATTATCTTGTTATTAAATATTAAAAGGACTTGAAGCCTAATAAGGATGAGATAGAAAAATTACCTTCTCAGATTAACTTTCACACAAATGAAACATATTATACACTGTTTTCAATTTAGCTTTCCTTGAAATAAAAAAAGTTCAGAGAACACAAGAAAAGAAAAATCATATTTATTAATAAATGAGTTTAATAAAATGATGTTACTCATATTTTATTTTATTCCAGATCTTTAAAATATCTGTATACTATGCTTTTTTGGCTTTAAAAATGTTTTCAGAATGAACACAGGTAAGGCAAAATCTTTTAGAATTATTCATTATTGTTAAGAAAACAAACTAAATCTGGAGTTAATTTCTATTTTAGTGCTTTTTTCTTGACATGAGAACTTTGACTTTCCCACTGTGCTATTAAAATAAATAACTTTAGTAGGACATCAAGAGAAGGAAGGAAAAATAGGTTACTAAAACTTATCCTAAGCGCAGCTTTAAAGCAAACAATGTGAAGTACTGAACAATAGGAACGAAAGCTAACTAACTGCTCTAAAGAATGAAGGCAAATATCAATATAGGGAGGACAAATAAATTCATAGTTCAGATGACTAGTTAATACAGTCCATAAAAATCCTAATGAATATGATCAAATCTTCTGACACCAGGAATTCTAGTGAGTTTTAATTGATAATGAGGCTAAATTTAACTCCTGAAGATTTTCAATATTGGTATTGGAGTTGTACTTCAGGGGGAAAACTCCCTCACTGTTTGCAATTACATTCAAAAACAACTTCCTGGACTCTAGTTGGACTCTAGCCACTCTCTACTCTTCTACTACACACCTAATGATCCTGGTTTAGGTAATGCTTATTCATTGGTATGAATGAAATCACCAATCTCCCACTGAATGTTCTAGGCTTTAAAATTAAAGAGATTTCTATTAGCATTTAAGTTATTGTCAGCACCTTTAGTCATGATGACATTTTAATACAGAAAACATTCTTATTCTTGAATCAATAATGTTTAAGAGTTGAAAGGATTTCGTTATATATAACCACTCTGACTTGAACATTTTCCTCAAAGAATTAGATGAAAAGAATGAAATTTTGTGGATGATAATAGAAATGCATTTTTTGTTAAATGTCTTTTTTTCCCTCTCCTGAAATGTAAGCTCCTTGAGAGCAAGGCCTTATATTTTTGTGCTACATACTCCTAGAAGACTACATGGTATATAGTGCAGCCTTTCTTACTAGTTTCTGAGAAAATTTTTGTATGTAGTGAACTAACTTATCTCCTATGCATATAGAATGATATTAGTTTATGTATCACCCTTTGTAGAATTGAGACAATAGTCACTCAAATTATTTTCTGTGTTTGATAGTTTAGATGAGGAACCTCAGTTCAGAAAGAGTGGATAAAATTTGTAAAAATCACCCCCAAAATTGAAGAATTAACAAGTGAAAACATACTACCTAAGGCACTGAAAGTCTTCTTTCCTAAATCCATTAACTACTCCAGTTTTGAAAACAAGGACCAATTCTTTCTAACTTTTATAATTCCTATAAGGTCTAGGACACTATGGTACAGACTTTAACTCATATTGTGTTTCATCAGTGGATTAACACACACACATATTTATATGCATGCATACACTACCTAAACCATATCCCCAACCTACTGAATCAGAATCTCTGGGGGTTGGGCCTAGGAATCTTTTTAGAAAAATCTCTATAGGAAGAAGGCTGGGTATTTAAGATGAATGACCATAGAATTTAAATTGATTTCTGTTTTCATTGCTGTTTCCTCTAAACATGATCTGGTTCCCTCATGTCAGTCATTTTCACTTAAACTTTGCCTTTCAAATGTCTACCTCTTTTTTCCTTTAAAAGTCCTCATTATTCCATTTCAAAGACATGCCATCATTCTCTCTCAAAGTTGATATTTTCTTAAATTTAACCTTTTTTGAAATCATTTTTGCTGTCCCACAAGCATCTAAGATCTGAGTTATTTTAACATCATTCTCTCGTTTATTCATAGAATATAGGGTTGTCTGCACTTAACACTTAGCCTTCTGTAGCATTTCTAAAAGTTTATAATTTTTTTCTGTTCCCAATAATAATATAATATTTTGGATTTATCCATTTTTCATGTTAATTATGTAGTTTCCCTTATCTCTTTGCTACTAATTCAATTTGTTCTTAAATAGACAAATGTATTAAAAGCTATTGAATTCACTGCTAGTTAAATAACCAAAACCCCCCCCAGATACTTGCTGACCAATGTTCATAGAATTATTCATAATAGCTAAAACGTGGAAACAACCCAAGCCTCCACAGAGAAACTGATAAACAAATTATGGTATGTGCCTATAATAGAACATTAGTCTTAAAAAGGAATGAAATTCTGATACATGCAACAACATAGATGAACCTTAAAAACATTATGCTCAGTGAAATAAGCTAGACACTGAAAGACAAAACTCGTTAAGATTCCACTTATATGAGGTACCTAGAATAGGCAAATTCATAAAGACAGAAAGTAGATCAGAGTTTACCATGGGTTGGAAGAGGGAAGAATGGAGAGTTTCTGTTTAATGGATATAGAGCTTCTGTTTGGGATGATGAAAAATCTCTGCAAACAGATAGTGGTAATGGCTGCACAAAACCGTGAATGTACTAATACCACTGAATTGTACACTTAAAATTGATTAAAATGGTAAATATCATGTTATGTATATTTTGCCAGAACAACTTAAAAACTACTGAAATAATTTTCTTGATTTTCTTAGAGCAGCATTTTTCATGATGCTGATGCATTTTATTCTTAAGAAACATTAAAAAAAAAAATCCCTGTCCATATTTTTAATATTCCATAAATTTATCACTCTCTTTAGAGTTTTCCTTTTCCTTTTTGAAAAAATAAAATAAAATTTAATATGGATATTCAGCATTTTCCACACTTTAAGCACAATGATGCTGTAGATATATACACACACAGAACACTTCAAATCTGTAAATACACATGTGCATGCACACATACACACCCCACATTACATCTCCTCCTTAGACTCTTGCAAATTTTACCAAAATTCTTCTCTGCTTCTTGTGTTTGATCTTTCATGTATATATAAGTACATGAGACTACAAGCTTTACAAAAAAGATAACATTATATTGCAAATTATTTTTAGAAGCCAAGTACTTTGCACATACAATAATGGGAAAATACCAATTTCAAAAGTTTACTCAACATACAAGAAAAGATAGTTTAAAAGGAAGGAAAGATAAACACATCAAAAGGATCTCTAAAGAACTGATACTACATAAACTATGGGGAGGCTGAGAAATGGCATTCTCAAAGGAAAAAAATGGAGCAGAGTAGAGAGTTGCTTTAATCTGAACTACAAAGAACTATAAGATAATTCAATTTATTATTTTTTGAGATCATACTTTTAAATTTCAAAAATTCTTCTGGCCTTACTAAAAAATAAAATAGGAATAATTTATTCTTATAAAATCCTGGAAAAATTAGGGAAAATAAATCAAGAAACAAATTTAGTATATGAAAAATTATTGCAAGATCCCATACACAAGGAATAATTATACATACTATAATGTGAAAAGATAACTGAAGCAAAGATGATGAGTTAGAAAAGAACATATATTCCTAAATAAAGAGAAGTATGTGGAATTGTATAAAAAAGCAGAAAGGACATGTGGCATTGAGTTTAAAAAGTCAGTTTAGGAGTAAACTGGGCTGTGCTGATAATAGCAAAGCATTTTCCTATTTCTAAGATATATTTGGATAATATGTAGGCAAAACTTTTCTTGAAAATGAAATCTGTTCAGGGTTACAAGACAACAGAAGAACAATGTCAATGATTTATTAGATGCAGAGAACTGTAAAGGAGGCAACATGGGCCAATCAGCAAGTTGCAAGTAGGAGATGAATGCAATGTTTTAAGTAAATTAATGGGGCAGCCACAGGCAGCATATAGACAGAGGCGGCAATAGTCAAGCAAATTCAGTCAGCAGTCCAACTCAGTGGCTCAAGGCAGGTGGAGAGAGACAGCGGAAATATTCAACAATCTGCACCTACTTACAATATTACAGGCATAGATTGGGCAGGGCAAGGGTCACGTAGGCAGATGGTTTAACACTTGGTAGGCCATAGTATAGGGAAATGGTAGGAGAGCAGATAGACGATGCTGGGCAGTTTAAAAATGCTAAAATAGCAGATGGATATGGCAGTACCAGGCCATTTACTAATGGACAAAGCATCATTGAGTGAAGAATGCAAATCATTCAGCAGATGAGTGAACTGAAGCAAAAAGTAGAGACAAAAACCAAAGGCAATCAAGCACGAAGACAGAAAACTAGAGAAACAATGATAGATCATCAGAAGCAGTTGGGTAGGGTAGTGACAAGCTGTCAGCAGAGGAACAAAACACCATTCAGGAAAAGATGAGATTGAGAGTGAAGCAGTCCCCTGAACTGGGTGTCTTTCATCTAGGAAACAGTAATTGATAAACTGCATACGAGAATCCACAAGAGAACAGCACACAAATGGAAATAGCAGATGGATCTGAACTCTATTGCCCAGGGATACAGAATGACCCTAGAACATAGATACATAACAATCCACAAGGAAACTAAACAGATGGGAAAAATGGGTCCAAGCATTTTTTTATGATGATAAAAAAAATCAAAACACTAAAAATTATTAATCTGGAAATGATTGGCTGGGATTGAAGTCTTCGCTTACCCCTTTCTGGAGCCCACAAAATGGGAATGGTGGGAATTTCTGCAGCAGAAAAACAGAAGAGAAAAGGGATTTCTGACTCCCAGTTTGAGGAAAGCAGGTCAAAATTTAGGGCTGTATGAACTGGTTCAAGGAAATAAGAACCAGCCTGAACCTTCTCCCCTCCTCAGAAGCAAACCATTTCTGAGGTTTGGAAAAGATTTAGTGAGCCCTCACCCCATCATTTCCCACAACCTCCCCTTTCACACTTACCTCCAGTGCAAACAGATTCCAGCAAGGAGGTACTTGGGAAAATTCACTCCCATGTTTACAACCATAGCAAAATTTGAGGATGGCCAACTAACGGTACTTCCTGTGTAGGTCAGGTTTTTGACTCAGTGGGATCCCTCCCACTCTTTGTGAGTAAGCAGAGGGAATAGATTACTAGAAACTACCTACCTCTTTGAATGTGCATGAGAAAGGAATCAGGGACAGTAATACCAATAAATAAATAGTAATATCAGTAAATACCTTAGTAATCTAATCAATTGTCATGGCTTTTTAATTCCATTTATATGTTGAAGACTATAATATTTCTAGACCATATTTTTCCTTGGAAGTCCAGATGCATATATCTAATTACAATTCAATGTCTCCACTTGAATATCTAAAGGCAATTCAAGTTTCTATTACCAAAGTAAAATTCCTGATCTTTTCCCTCAAACCTACTTTTCCCACAGCCTTTTCCATTTAAGTAAATGGCAACTCTGTCCTTCCAATTGGCCAAGTCAAATCCTAGGTCTTGACTTCTCTCTTTCTCTTATTCCATCTGTTACCTCTCCCTGTATCAATAGTCTACTTCTCATTACTTCTACCTCTATCATTGATCTGAAACACAATCGTTTTTTCACCTGAATTATTTTAATTACTCTCCTCATTGCTTTCCCTATTAAAATATTTTAAGTCAGATCATGCCATGCTGCTGCTCCATTACACTAAGGTAGCATACGGATTTTACATGATCCATGACTTTCTTTCCTCCTTAAGGTCTTTGCTCAAATGTCACCTTATCGATGGTTGCTTGATAGAAGTCTCTATTTAAAATTATAACCCTCTTTCCTGCCTAAACTACCTATCCTCCTTCCTTGGTTTATTTTTATCCATGGAACTTAACATTTCCAATACTATATATTTTACTTGTTTTCTTAGGGTTACGTCCTACCACTAAAACATAAATTCCATAAAAGTAGGAACTTTTGACCTCTTTGTTCATTGCTATACCCCCAACATCTTGAATAGTGCCTGGTATAAATATAGTGGTCTTTTAATACAAATTTGGGCCCATGAAGCATTAATTTCTTATGGGGCTTCTCCTTCCTCAATCTCAAATTTTCAGGGCATTCTTCTGAAAGCTCACATGCTATGGGTTTATGAATTACCAGAGTAGATGCGAGTGCACTATAGGATAGGAAGGTTTTAAAATAGGGGTTGGCAGACTATAGCCCATAGGCCAAATCCTGTCCCCTGCCTGTTTTTTGTATGGCCTGAAGTCTAAAAATAATATTTATATTTTTAAATGATTCAAAAATAATCAAAAGAATAATATTTCATGCCACATGGAAATTACACAAAATCCAAATTCAGTGTCTATAATAGTTTTATTAGAACACAGCCAGCCTCATTCATTTATATCATCTATGGCTGTCTTTGTGCTACAGGTCTGGTAGAGTTGGGTAGCTGTGACAGAAACCACATGGACTATAAAGTCTAAAGTATTTACCATCTGGCCCTTTAAAGAATAAGTTTGCTGACCCTATCCTATGGTATTTTACATTAATATTTCGAAGGCAAAGAGTAAAAACTGCAGTTCGAGCAAAGATAGATTAGAATTTATTGTTAATACTGTTGTTACTGTTGCCCATGATGTACCTTTGGAGGAAGGTGTATTTATAGTAGGGGTTGCTTTCAATATTATATAAAATTATATATATATAATTTATATATAATTTTATTATATAAAATTATAAAAAGGAGTCCTTCTATTCCTCTAAATATAATTCGTTACTGATGGTGATATTCATTCATCTACCACACAAAGCGGCCCCATCTTAAAGGAGAGAGTACAGTATTAAGTATTGAAAATGGAAAATGGGAGTGAATGAAAGAGGAAGTAAATAGAGCCCATAAATAGAACTCATATCAAAGTATCACATAATTAACCAAACTTCTAAATAGATACCTTATTTAACAGTAGTGGAAAATTAGCATGAGTTGAATCTCAATTGAGTTATTACTAAATTGACCTCATTATAATGGGGTTGCCTGTACAATGTAATCTTGAATCACAGCAAGCAAGAGACATATTATAATAAAACTTCATTATACCTATACAATACCCAAAACAATTATTTTCTCATTGGTTCAAATACCTACATTTTACAAGAAAGTACTTTAAAAATCTGCAAAATCCCATTTAAAATTACCTAATTAAAACTGACCTATCTTTTCCTTCCATAAAGTCTCAGACTGAGGATTATTCTATGCAAAGATATTCTATTATTTTTTGCAATCAAACTTACAGAAAGGGGTGAAGAAGCTGAAGGGAAGACACTTAATTTATCCCAATGACATACATCATTATAATGCTATCTTCATTCTTCCTAGAGGAGTATAATTTATTTCCTTGTATTATCGATTAGTCCTAAAAGCATGATCAATTACTTCTTCTGTATTGTTGCCTTTGGCCTTTGGTCTCTTGCTCAGTGACTCTGACAACATTTCATCTTCAAACTCCATACTTCCAAGAGGTTTACTGCTTCATTCTTCACAGCATCTTTTGAAGGAACTTAGATCCTTTCTGCTAATTCTCATCTGTGTGCCATTAATGATTATCTGAAATAATTCCTCTCTCCATTGGACATTTGTTCTCTATTCTTTTTACAGCAGCCATTCTCTTTACAAGTTCCGATATAAGAAAATCATACTGGTAAAATATCATTTAAATTTGATTGTCATTTGAATCTACTTTCTGACTCCCCATCAGATTCCTTTTATGGCAGGTAATAACATCAAGTTACAAATATTCTGCTCTTGTGATACAATGATATTATTCATAGAAGTTCATAGTACTTGACAGATATAAACTCATTTTCATTATATTATATTTTGTGTGAAAAGCAACATTAAGTCCATTTTACAGATGACTATATAATATATATAAAGAGAAATTTGTATTCATTTTTTTTTTTTGAGACAGAGTCTCACTTTATTGCCCAGGCTAGAGTGAGTGCCGTGGCGTCAGCCTAGCTCACAGCAACCTCAAACTCCTGGCTCAAGCAATCCTCCTGCCTCAGCCTCCCAAGTAGCTGGGACTACAGGCATTCGCCACCATGCCCGGCTAATTTTTTGTATATATATATTAGTTAGCCAATTAATTTCTTTCTATTTATAGTAGAGACGGGGTCTCGCTCTTGCTCAGGCTGGTTTCGAACTCCTGACCTGGAGCAATCCGCCCGCCTCGGCCTCCCAGAGAGCTAGGATTACAGGCGTGAGCCACCGCGACCGGCCAAAATTTGTATTCTTGATTTCAATCAGTAATGAAGAAAGGAATATCCTGAATTCTTCATTCCTGAGACTATGTCTCTGAATAAGTCTGCTTTTAGCATTTTACATTTGCGAAATATTTAATGATATTTTGTTGTCAATGTCTTAGCAAATATTTTACAAAATCAAAATATTCTGGTATGCTAGCCTCTATTCATTTTACAAGGGTAGGCTTGTAAGAGTGAGCTAGCAAGGTGATTTCAAGATTTTATCACTGTGATAAGTTCAAGGTATAATAAGCATTTAGCATGCCCTCTCTGATGTTTCTTTTTCCTTTTCCACAACTATATTATTTTGTACTTTTGGTCCTATATTGTTTGATTTTTTTCCTCCAGAGAAAAAAATTTTCTCTGGAGGAATTATTTTATTTATTTATATTATTTTAATAATATTATTAAATATTAAAATATTTAATATTTTATTATTTTAATATTATTTTAATATTTATTCAGCCATTAAGCTTAAAGCTCTTTATATGCACACACATGTGTATATTAATTAATAATTATAATTATACAATTAGTTATAATTAATATGTAATATATTAATATGATAATAGCACATATTTACGTAGCAAATAGTTTTTGATGCCTTATATTTTATGTAATATAACTACCCTTTGAGGTAGGTACTCTATCTTCATTTTACACAAAACTGAATTATAAAACATTAAGTAGGTTGTACAAAGTAACACACTAGGTAAAAGGTGGATCTGAGATTCAAAACCAAATAGTCTGTGCTTTTAGGCACTATGTTATGCTGTTCCGTAAATGGTTATATGGGCAACACTGTTTTTTTAGTTAGAACTCTAATTAGAAACAGAAATTACAATAATTTCTATCTATACTTATTTGTATGTTTACTCAAGATATGATCTCTCTTCTTTATAAGGGCCCCATAAAAGCTGAGAACATATTCTGGTACAGAGTAGGCATGTAATTAGGACATATATTTAAGGGGAACTGAAGATGTAATTTTATTTGTGAGTTCTTCATACACGAAATTTTTGTTTTTGCTTCATTCTCTAAATTCCACAGTTCTGACCTTGAGGAAAAATGTATTCTTCCATATTTATTTTTTAACTTTAAATTTTAATTGTATGGATACATAATAGTTGTACACATTTATGAGGTACGTATGATATTTTGATACAAGCATACAATGTGTAATGATCAAATCAGGGTAACTAGGATATCCATCACCTCAAGCATTCATCATTTCTTTGTGTTAGGAACATTCCAATTCCACTGTTTAGTCATTTTGAAATATATTTTCCCTCTTTAGTGCTGCTATGTGGAATGGGAGCCTTTCAACCTAATAGTTTTAAATGCAAAGTCACTTATTGCCCTAATTACTTTATTTATATAAATGGTCTAAGTTTGTACCTCTAATTTTTCCATTGGCACCATTTTACTATGAAGCTTTTCTTTTTAATGAATAAATAAAACAAAGGATGTATG